TGTATGTGTGTGTGCAGTGTGGCACAACTATGACCGTTCCAGCACCTTTTCCAAAAGCTTGGCAACAACGGCGCATGGTTCAGCGGAGTAGCTGGCGATGAGCACAAATGAATACAGCAAAAGCCAACTAATTCATTTTCAAATGCCAAAAGAAGCTTGTGGTTTTCGGTTGTCCAACCAGCATCCCCCAATATCATGATATCCGCTGCGAGAGCTTCGGAACCCTATTGTCGATCCCCAGACTTTCTTTCATGTGGAATGGTATGCACTCCACAGTCAAATGATGAAATTATCGGCCGCATTCAGGGGCCAAAAGATCTTTTCGATCACGTTCAGATAGATCCAGCCAGTCTGAAACTACCACACATAATAAGATATGATTCTAAAACCCAGTTGCTAACAAAATTGGTTTGGTTTTTACATAATCTGTTGGAATTACTCGCCCAAAAAAAAACAGCAGCAGTCGACAGCTCCGTGGAAGGCTGGACCTATGACCTATGGCGCATCACGCTCAAGCTTCGCCAAGTACTCAGTTGCTGCCTCGCTGGACAACATTGGGAGGTTGGATTCATCCATCTCATACTGCTTCTTCGCCCACCAGTCGCCGGCAAACTTCCAGAAGATATCCTGGCAGGGGATGGTCATAAATTTAGAGGGTTATCTTTTATAATTGGGATCGATACATCGGGTGTGACATAATAGTACTACAGGGATTTATGTTCAATGGATTCACGCTGGGATATTCGATTTGAAAAACAAGATTTGCAATGTTCGAAATCTATACATGTTTTCATGGTTTCAGAATTTCCTAATCACCACAAATAAATCTGGCCAGGGTTGCCCCAATTAACCTAGTTCCTTCATATATTGGGATGGGCTATGATAAGAGAAACAAAACCATAAGATACCATAAGCATATAGTATTGCTTTTGTTGGAAAAATGCCAGGGAACCCATGCAAAGAAATGCTTGATATATAGAGCCCCAGCAAACTATCCCCCATAATGTAAGAAACATAGAACATGTGAAAGCAAAGGAAAGCATGCACAAATAGTGAGGAAACAGTCCTCATGCTTGGAGGGGGCCTTCACGAAGGCACGGATCCGGTTATTGAAAACATCTCTGAGAGCAAGCCACCTGGCTTTGCCAAAACTGGTAGTTGGCTGGGCTCGGCGGGCAAAAGTAGCAGGTTGGGTCTTTGCCTTTTTGGCGGTCTGGTCGGCATCACTGGTCTCACAAGTTTTCTTTTTGGCTGCAGCCTTCTTGGGGGCAGGTTCGGCATTCTCCGGGTTTGCCTTTCTTTTCTTGGGTTTGACTTCATCTGGCTGGCTTCCCCCAGATCCTCCTGCAACCTTGTGTCCCCCAGCAGCCTGACGTTTTTTGCTGTTAGGTTTGGCAGGTGGCTTGTCCTCCTTCTCTGGCTCTACCACCTTTTCACTTTCCCCCACCATGTCAAGGTTCTCAGGGCCTTTGCTCTTGTCAGGGTTCTCAAGGCCGGGGGGGTCAGAAGGGGCGCTATCATCAGGAACCTCAGTGTTGGCAACACTTGCTTTCATCTCAGCATCCTCGGACTCATCATTTTTTTTGGACTTCCTACTCCTTGCCTTTGCCTTCCCTTTTGCCTTCCCTTCTGCCTTGCCTGTCACCTTTCCCTTCCCCCTTCCTTTTCCCTTCCCCTTTCCCTTCCCCTTGGTTTTGGGACCTGGCTTGCTTGGCCCGGCATCCCCCTCCCCTTTTCCATCATCTCCATCATCGGCTGACTTGAGTGCAAGTTGAGCCCGTCGCAGAACCTGGGCCAAAGAAATGGGAATGACCAAAAACAGTAAATTAGCCTTTTACCAGAAATGTTTTGTTTCAGCTTGTGTTTCTTTGTGGTCACTGCAAACAGGTACGCAAACTTAGAAAAAGCCAAAAGGCAGGGGGGGCAGGGGCAGGAGAAATGTCATCCATCTTCTCACCATCAAGCTGGAAGCTCTGAAAGTCTTTGGCCAAGTCATCTAGTTCACCTGGTGCTAGCTGTAGGGTCTCCTGGTTGTCCCCACCAAAGCCCAAGCTCTCAATGACTGGAATCGGCACTTCCTGGGCCTGGTCCAAGGAGTTCCTGGCTCTCCTCAGCTGTTTGTATAGTGGGCGGGATTATGTGGCCAAAAAAGGTAAACACGGTGTTTTGTCAAAATCTGCGCAAGGTTTCCCAACAAGTATATACGTTGTGGTAAAACTTTTAAAAAAAAGCAGGTTGTGGGGACCAAAAACAAATTTATTATATAACATGTTTTGATGTAAAAAAATGCATCAAACTATAGTCATTGCATAAGTTTCTCAGCACAGTTCTTCTTCTTTGTGAGCGCTAGCTGAGCCTTGAGCTGTTTGAGCTTCTCTTGATAGCTTGCGATGGTAGCTGCTTCAGGGTCCATGGGTTCGGAAATCACACTTTTCTTGGGGGTGGTGTCATCATCACTGATCATGACGATGGCGTGCTTGTCAATCACTCCACCTTCATCGCTTGTCATCATCTTCTCATCTCCCAAAGTCATGTTCACTTCAGGGCTTTCGGGCTGGGAACAAGGGATCTCATCATCAAAAATCGATGTTGGCAATGGATCATCATGCATGTGCGGTGAAGATTTGGCTACATCACCGGGCAATAGTGAACCAAGGGCATCAGCACCATCAACCTGTGAGTCTGGGACCTCACCTGTGGGTTGGAAAGCACTGTCATCATCATCATCATCATCTGAATCCTCATCCCCAACCACCATCTCCTCGTCATCCTCCTCGTCCTGAGTGTCGTTCATCTCCACGTCTGGCAAAGGTTCCTGTTGGAAAAGTGGAAGGGTCTTGGTTTGGGAGATGAAAAAACATGAGGTGAACATATTTTACTTTAAACTACAAACTTGTGTTTTGTTTTCATCCCTTAAAATGAGCTGTAACATGTTGTAACATATCGTAACACATTGTGAATTGTAGCATGTTGTAACATATCGCAAAATATTTCCCCAGGTTCTCCTGCCCAGACGGATCAAATACCAGAGCCATCAATCGTCGAAACAATTTGGATCGGCAAAGTTGGTCTCTTTGCAATTTCCGTTTGATGAGCACCGTAAATTTCTTTGCCAATTTGGCCTCTAGCTTCAACAACTTGGCGGTGGGGGGAGGCACCATCATCTTCTCATAGAACTTGACCATCCTAGCCAGTAAAAGGGGATGCCCCACAAAAACAGTTAACATACAACAAAACAAAAAACAATACAAACAAATGAAACAAATAAAACTTGAACTGCTCAACCAAAGTATGTTGAACAAAATGTAGAAATGCAGCAAAAAGTCTGCGCTTTGATGGCTGGGATTCTGAGCTGTCCCACATTCCCATCCTTGTCTAGAAGACGTTTGGCTAATGGCTCGAGGACATGGAAATTCCTTTCACCACAGCTCACCGTGATCTCAACATCATTGGATCTAGCAGCAGGGGCAAAAAGAGATCCCTTAATCCTTACATACTCCCTGACATACTCCGATGCTTCCCACTCTGCACCCACACCGTCAAGGGATATCGCCATGGTTCACCCTGTGTCAACACTGAATACTCTTGAGCCAAGAAACCCTACGCATGCTGGTAGTAAACCCCATGGGAATGACAAAAAATGCAAACCTTTAATTAATGATGATGGCTTATCATAATTTGCACCCCTTTATATACTGATTTTTTGCAATTTCTATACGATACAAGCTTTCAGGGTGAGTTGGTTTATCAGCACCTTCTGTTGACAGACATTTCTATCATCCTGCCGTACTACTGTAGTAGAACCCCAAGATAATTGAAGCAACCCTGGCCAATTGTAATGATCTAACCGCAAAAATATCCCAACATATATCTCTAAAGAGCCCCAAAAGATGGACATGACCCAATAGATGTTTGATTTAGAACAAGTTTGCTTTGATGATATAAGCCATTGTTTCAAGTACCGGAAACTTACTTGGTTTGGCTTAAAAATCATGTTACATTGGTTTTACCCCATTGACCTCATCTTCCACCAACATCGGAGCTGGCCTCAAAAGCTGAGGCCCCAGACGTGCTCTCAAGAGCTTGTCCACCGTGGGAAAAAAGATTGCTCTGCCGTTGGCTGGGCCATGGGATCTGGAAAGATCTTGGAATATACAGTAGCTGGGCCTATAGCTGATTCATAGTTCATGCCCAATGGGAAAAGTTCTGGCATTACCTCTGTTATGTTACTCTTATGGGTATATTCCGGATTCCAGACCCATGCCATTGGCCAAGGAATTGGTTCGGGCCACATCTGATGGTGCCCCACAAGTTCAGGGGATAAACCCTATAAGGTATAGAATCATTAAGGAATTCTTGGAACACACAACAAATGGTTTTATGAGGGATGTAATCCACATTCATGTACACAGATAAACCACCAGAATGACCAAGAGGGAACCCTCTTAACAAGTACTATGTTAAGAATACGCCCCTTTGCAGAAATACGGCCGTTTGGTAAATTTACAGGTTTTTTAATGAAGGGATGTAAAGTTGATACGGCCTCTAAATTTGAAGGACATTTAGGCCCCAGGTATATATATACACTTTATATATATATATATATGTACATACCATGTATGTCTGTACATCATATTGCATGAGTGTATGCAATCATCCTTCAAAATGAGTGGGCATGCAACATATTATTGGAATTATGACCCAAATAGACAATTTTTTCAAAATATGCGCAAACAATATTATTTTATTGTACATATTTATTGAATATATTGTACATATATACGCATACGTTCGGTGTGACCTTCGATCTTTCCAGACATCTTACACCAAGGCAATATTTCCATCGAAACCGGGCCGGCTTGCATGATCCATCAATTGCCAGAGTGTTAAGGTTTATTTGCATTACAGTAACCTCAGTAACCTCTCTTGAAAAGGCAATTTTGTGTTCTTGTGCCTTGAGAATGCAGCGGTCAGTAGGATTTTTCATGTTTTTCTTCCAGGTCAAGGCTGCTGGCTCGACATGGAAGGAGAAAAGCGCCCCATGGCCAGCAACAAGGCCCATTGGTCGTTGGTGAAGCTTCAATGAAAATCTAATTTGATTTGTGGTTTCTGGTCTTGATTGCGAACACGTCAATCTTCCCCCGCAGGAAATTTGAACATTATATAATTACTTGCAAGATCAGCGTATATAGTGATATTGAACGAGACTCTCTCTCTTTCTCTCTCTCCCTCCCTCCTTTTTTTTTCGTTCTTTTTCTGGCCTGCCTTTGGTCTGCGGGGCGACTCTTCATCAAATCAGTAACAGTAGACCTATTCGGAAGTAGTTTGGCAACTCATTCTGCCAGAGTCTTGCCCTGCTCCCAACTTGTGGAAAATGGCGGAGCCCTTTGCCTCATTACTTTCTGTGAATATTCAACGGATTTTGGCACCCATATTCAAAGGACGGGAACAGATCTGAACCATTTTCCTGGAAGTAATTAGGCATTACAAACAAAGATCGCTCAGACTCTCACCATCCTAGTTCCTCGTCCAGGCTTCTGTTCGAAACTTTGACAGCATTGCTGCCGGTCAATCGGCCAGCTGATGAGTCCCATCCATCGATTGCTGTTTGGCGCCAAGCTTGGCCTGTCTTTGAGGAGATAACTTGCAGAAAACACCATACTGACCGACCAATATCGTGTATCTTTTACCTCTCGGATCAAGCAATTATTCAGTCGCCCTATATGCACAATCCCATTAAACGTGGCTGCAACCCCTGCGCCCCATGCTGGCACTGTTGCGGTAGAGATTCAACACCACTGGTCAGGGACTTCAAAACTAAACACTGCTTTGCAGGCTTTCCTCATTTCTCGTAAAAAATAGCTCCGCACATCCAGACTTTGTGCTTGTCCCAGGACGTTTTGCTCAGACATCACGTTGATGCAGCTTCAGATCAGCCATTGAAGGCAGCTGTGGAGGCTTTGCAGCGCGCAGGAATCCATGCTCCTGTTCTCTTGGCAGAGGCCCATGGTGTCTCACCAACTGTCAACTTGAAGATGCAAATGCAGGAAGGGAACATGATGCAGTCAACCTAGGATAAAAGCACGTCAAATTTGTGAAAAGTGGAACACAGAAAGTATTCTTTGCACAATGTTGGCAGCATCTACAGTATGAATACAGTTAAAGGCAAACCAGGCACAGCATGTGAAACTGGCTACGGACGTGATAAGACTGTTCGTCATTGCTACTTTGGTGGCGCGGAATGTCTTGGTCTACGTCGTTATTAACTGCTCATTCGGTATAGCCACTTTGGTATGTTATTGTTGACGAGTCGAAAAATGAGGATAAGCTTGGACCACATAGGCCGCCTGATTTTCATGCACAGGCACTACAATTATTCTCCAAATGCCTTCAAGAGCGCGATGTTTCAGAAGTACTTCCTTTGGTCTCTTGCCACCAATGCGTTGAAGGCCCAGCTGTCAATCTCTTTAGGGGTAAAGAGAAAAACACGCATTCAGTGTTGTTCTGGTATGGATATGGGGATCCGTGGCTTGCCACAGCGGCTTCGCTCAGACCTCGACATGTTGCAGCAAAAATCAAGAAAAACGAGAAGAGTGCCCTAAGGGGTCCCGAGTAAGAGTCAGATTGCAATGTACACACTTCAAATCACTTCAATAGATCCTAAATTTGCAAAACCATCTGGAGTGGAATCGGCTCTAAGTTTAGTCTAACAGAGGCCATGTGTTGGCAAAGTGCTAGATGTACGCGAATTACCTGTACAGCCGGCGAAAGTTACGCTGAGGCTATCCGTGAAATTGTTGTGGCTATTCCATGTCCACCGGTTGGATGCTTAGAAGAGATAATTAGAGGCGGCATACAGAGACACAGTCACAACTCGCTGTTTCATGCTGCACATGATTGGGTCGCTCTAAAGCCATCTTTTCCCTCCTTACAAGGTGCCCTGAACCCTTGATTCCTTTTCCGAGATTTAAGGTCCAGCTCATGTGAACATGCAAATTAGATTTGTCAGAAGAAGCTGCCAGCTGGCGCTTGATCAACCTTCAAACTTTTGTAGAGCACTTTCTTCTAGGACCTTCTTCAAAGGGCTGCTTATCTTGGACTCATTCAACTGTTGAATGCATTGGATTTTCAACGAAAGTGGAGTGTATAGATCTACATGAGCAGTTGATAGCAGTTGCATTTTCGTACACAGGGGTGGATCTCTGACGCAGTTCCCCGATCATCCCAATCCACAATTGGTTTGGCATTCCATGGCATTCCAAACAGACTGTGGGTTCTTTCTAACCATTCTCTAACAAGGGTATGGGTCAAAATTCCTCATGCCAAAAGATCGACCCTTCAGTACCAAATATGGCCCTTAAATGCCTGTAATTTGTACTTGCAGGGATTTGCGGGGCACGTTTTTCAGGCTTTACCATCACTTACCATCACCATGCTCCACCTGCTCCACCTGTTCCACCTCCACGTGCATCCACGTGCACGTTGATGTTGTTCCGACGTGTTCCGACTGCCGAGGTGGATCCCGGCAAAGCAGCAGAGTTGCTGGCCGCTGCTATCACGATCGCGGCAGAACAAGTGTTGAAACAATCTCAGGCACCGGGCGGTGAATGGGATACCGGATGATACCGGAAAATCATGAAACGTATGAAACAATAATCGTGAAAAACTTAGACAGCCAGGCTTGTAGTGGCGAGCTATCGTAGTACAACCCTTGTAGATGTTTGTTGCATTTTGTTGCTCCATTTTTGTCGGTCGCTTTAGCATCGTCTCTTTGATCTTCTCAGCCAAAGGCAATAGCCAAGACAAGAGGCAAGAACACCATTTCTGTCCTGGTCGGTCACATGATGTGTGGGATGCTCATTCATCACCAAGGCTATTGAGATCCCAGAGGTTTTAGCTGCCCAGTTTGAGCTCCTAGCGGAGGCGCGACATGTCGGCACTTTTGACAACTAATTAATATGAAATGAAAACCGCGTGTTGAAAAGTGCAGATCACAGTCTGGTTTGGGAAAAGATATATTATATTCGAATGTTCAAGGAGGCTCATGCTATGAGAAACGGCCAGTATGTTCAATCGATTGGACGGACAGTGCAAAGGGAGGCTGGATGGCAGGCTGTTCGACCTTCATCCCCCGGCACAGCCGGACAGGGACCCTGTGAAGATAGGTGTGGGTGCTCAGATGTGCCAAATGGATTGTGTTCTTTCCTGGGCGAAGCGTGGCTTTGCGTTGCTGTTACTGTAGAGAGATCATTTGCTGCAAGTCTGTTTTGGAGTGAGACCTTAATGTATGTGCCTGAAATTCCAAGATTAAACCAAAGACATTGTGATTTCAGCCTGACTTTCCCTCATTTAAAGAACGCATTTATACATATTTATACGCATATGTACTGTTACTGGACTAAATGGCGTGAGCTTATAAAAAGACATCGACACCCATGGAGGTCGCTGCTGTTTTTCTTTGAACATTTCCAAAGTGCTGGCTGCGTCTTGCTGCATCTGGCTGCACAGCAGGCTACGGCCCCTCCTCCTGAGCCAGCGGGTCCTGATCTCACGCTGCCTGTCGCTGGCAGTGCTGGCTGATTGTAACACATTGCCAGATTGCAATGCCAGCAAAACTCAACTGGTACTTGATATTACTTGATGATTTATTTCATGTACCTTTCTGGTCGTAATTTGTTGCAAACGACAAGTCGCCTATCCCTGTGAAGGAAGTCCCTTTGAGAATCCAACACCTTCGCGTTTGATTGGGGTTCGACGCTTGACTGACGTTTGCATTGGTGAATCTCACTCTCTCTCTCTCTCTTTCTTTCTCTCTCTCTCTCTCTTTCTCTCGTTCTCTCTCTTTCTCTCGCTCGCTAAAACATGCATTATACACAATTAATCATTATATATAATTATAATTATATATATATATATATTATATACACTATACTAATATTACATCCAACACACACTCTTTGGACATTATAACACTTGCAAGAAACAGCTGGAATTGGGGATCATGATTGTTGCCACCTTTGAACTACCATGAGATTTGCCAGGTCTCTCTTGCTCTACCGGATTGTCCATCAGAGCGTGTCTCGATACAGATGCATTGGGCTCAGAGAGGTCTGATTATACAATACTAAGATACTATATAATGTGTATATACATATATATATATATACAGAATTGGCTGCGACATCATACAGATTGGTAAGGAAAGGAATGCTGCGGAATCCCTCAAATTTGAAAACAAAGAGGCAGTTTATTTACTTGAATACTATCTGGTTGCTCTCTTGTTTGATCAGATTTAGAGTGAAGGTCACGGAAGGCAGTATCGCAGGCTACACAATCAAGATGTTTTAGCTCTTGGATCTGCTGCCATTCTCTGTATTTGCTGCAGCAGAGCGACCAATTTCTTAGGCTTCGTTTCACCAAACATCTCATGAGCGACGAAGAGGCTGAGCCAGCATCCCCAGATGTCCCCGGTGCTACTGGATGAACTTTCCTTGTCCGGGACGGTTTCATGCGTTGTGGTTCTCTTTCTTCCATTGCTTCAAAAACTGTGCTGTTGTTGGTCAACTTCCTTCACCAGACAAAACACATTATATAGGTAGCAGTAGCAAATGCAAAGCGTGCCCGGATCACTCCTTCACAACTACTTGCCTGATTGATGGCCACATTACGTTTTAATTGTTGCCTCCGAGCAGTTGGGGTTTCCAGTTCAAACATTTTATCATTGTCATGTCATCCATGTGCACTGCGCATGAAACCCATACTGAGGCCCGATGCCCACAGAGCATTGCTGCAGACGTCCCTGCCAACGGTCTGTATGCTGCTTAGATGGCTGATGGCTGATGCAGAGTGGAACATTGTGAAAGTTGGAAATCCCAGAGCAGTGCCTATAGAGGCCTAGCAGGTCCGAATGAGTATTATTCAGATGTATTCAAATGCCTACAGTACATCCACATGTCATCACATATTGATAATATCCACATCTTCCCCACCTGTCCTTCTCGGGTGGATCTAAGGTGCAGCTTTGTGCCGGGCGTTAGCGACTCAAGATTTCTTCACGGAATCCGAGGCCGTTTGTAGGGGCGCTCTGAGCAGCCGGGACTTTTCATTTCTTCTGGTATTCATTTTTTCAATACTTATTGATCTATATTGACCTTATTGAATCTTATTGAATCTTATTGGATCATATTGATGGCTTCACGATTTGCTCCACTAGAGTCCGTCTATATCGCGCCACCAAGTCCAGTACGCAATTTGAGCAAACTATAGAGATTTGAAGCTTGCGCAGCGGCCAGGCTTTAGCAGAGGCCGGGGAGCTTTTCTTATCCGCGGCCACTGTGAGAAGCTCAGCGCGATAGTACGACAGTCGGTAGCCAGCTTTGCAGCTTTGCCAGGGTAAAAAATGTGGCATTTGGCCTGTCCTCTTTGAGGCGAGTGAAGAAACCCTCACAGGCCTTCTTGACAAAACAAAGATGTACATTTCCTATCATTTCCTTACATTGTATGAACACCCAGATGGACCTAAATAAGAACAAGGACATTTATGAGGCACTGGCAACGTGCGGTACTCGCTAAGGTCCTACCAGAGCAGCTTTCACCCGCTCTCTCTGCTGGTCTCAGTCAGCTGGACCTGCCACTGCCTGAGACAAATAATTATGACAGAACTGAGAAATCATCGATTGCGATTTTGTTGCATTGAAGTAATGAAAGAAGTAGCATGTTTGAAGAATGGTCGCGGCGTGTTGCAGCTTCAGCTACCCTTTGCCGTCCAAGGCCGGACCACAGCAAGGTGCCTCCAGGGATAGCAGCAAAGCATGATTCACAACACAGCCTCCAATGGCCTCATTCTTTGATCACTCGAACTTATTTTGTTACACTGTTTAGTCATTTTTACATTTACATGGTTTACACATGTTTACAATATGTTTACATGGTTTTGCTCCATTACATTGCAGGGAAATTTATGGCCAATGGAAGGCGGTCTCCCCTCGAAGTCGTGTCCAGGTCCTTCTGGAGCAGCATGTACAGGCTCGAGGGGAGTGGAGCAAGAAAAGCGCCGCAGACTGCAATTGGTTGTATGATGTTGTATGGCTTCACTATGCTTCACTCTTGCTTCACCAGGAAGTTGGTTGGACTGCTTGCATGACAATTTCAGATACATAAGCACACAATTTTGGTTTGCCGCGAAATACACGATGGAGCAGTGAGCAAGTCTACTCTTTTCTGCTTCACTACGCATCCTGCTGTTCTAAGATAGGTTAGGGCAAAGTCTGTTTACATTTGTTTACCGTGACAATGAAGTTAATGGTATGCCTGACTATGTCAGGGCTCCATATGGTCCCCATAGTTTCTCAGCACCTTACCTCTTGTGCAAAGTCCAACAAAGGGCGTTTGGAACCTCGAGAGCAAACGCACAATTCAAATAGTCTTACTGAGTTGCCTCCAATCCATTTGCCACATGAGGCTAGTCTTTCACGAACCCAGGCCATTGGTTGGAACAACTGCAGCAGATTGTGGTGGAGTGGCACAGTGAACGCAGATTGACGGTGCAGTGAGTGCCGTTGGGGTAAGCCGATTTTGTTTTGGCGCGCACGGAAGCGGTTGCTGCGCCAGACAGATGGTCGCTACCACAAAGGGATGAGATCGGTGCTTTCTTCCAGCCGTTTCAGGGTCTGTGGTCATAGCATTCCAGGGATTCTTTAATCTTTCTTGATTTGTTCAGAAGTTCAGACATTGGGCGAAGATCTATGCTGGGACCCACTCACCTACCAGTAGGTAGGGCCAGGGGCAGCTCAGTGTGAATGGATAGAAGCCGCACTCTCCTCTTTGCTACAGGAACACCAGCGCTTCTGCCAACAAAGAGGCTCTACGCTGCAAGTGGTTGGGAGTACGAACATTGACCGAGTTAGCAACTAAGGGAGTCAGCAACTACGAGCCAGCAACTGAGCAAACCCGAGTCAGCAACCAAGAGTCGGCAACAAAGGCACCGAGTCAGAAACTATCCGAGTCAGCAACCAAGAACGTCCGAGTCAGCAACTAACCAGACCGAGTCAGCAAACACCAAGTCCGAGTCAGCAACTACAAAGGTCCTTTTCAGCAACCAAAAATGTCCCCGTCTGCACAATATATTGAATGGAACATTAACTTCAACTTATCTTCATGAGGTTAAATCCACCAGCCCCTCTGGACAATATATTGATTGGCATACTGACTTTAATTTAAGTTCTTCTGGTAAGAAATCAAAACTGCCACCCCCTCTGGACAACAAAACACATGGGATTTGAATAATTTAAACCTGAACTAACTATATAATGATCTTCCTGAGGGATTCGCAAAATAATTTTAACTTCTTATCAAAACTGCCACCCCCTCTGGACATTGTATTGCATGGGGTATTACCTTCAACTTATCTTCATGAAAGATTAAATCCACCACCCCCTGCGGATTATATATTGCTTGGCATAGTAACTTTCGCGTCTTCTCATAAGGAATCAAAGCTGCCACCCTCTCGCATCGATTGCCATAGTAACTTTAAATTCTTCTGATAAGGGATCGAAGCTGCCACCCCGTCTGGACAATGTATTAAATGAAATTATTAACTTCAACTTATCTTCATGAGGGATTAAATCCACCACCCTTTCAGGGCAATACATTGACTGGCATAGTAACTTCAACTTCTTCTGATGAATCAAAACCGCCACCCCTTCAGGATACTATATTGATATTGAATGGGATACTACCTTCAACTTATCTTCACGAGGGATTAAATCAACCACCCCCTCTGGACCATATGTGGAACGCGGTTGGAGACATAGAACATGAAATAGATAGTTAGATAAACATATCATTAGAAATAAAGAAAGAAAGAAAGAAGGAAGGAAGGAAGGAAAGATGGAAAGATGGAAAGATGGAAAAATGGAAAGATGGAAAGATGCCGACTCAGTCCTCTCTTAGTTGCCGCCTAAGCCCATTCTTAGTTGCCGACTCATCCCTTTTTGTGGTTGCCAACTCATCCCGTTCTTAGTTTCCGACTCATAGTTGCCGAATCAGCCCTTTTGGTTGCCCACTCAGACCCCGACCTTGGGAGTAGGGAGCGTGTCACCCGCATGAATGATAAGTTCTAAATGCCCACCTGTTCCAACAGTCACCTATACTCCATCATTTTGATGAAAACACGCCTGATAAGCAATTCTCTGAAGTTGGAAGTGGCCCTGGAGGCCCTGAAAACCCTCGAGGCCCTCGAGTCTGTTTGCACATCTGTTCTCTTTTTGCTACACACAAAACTGTACAGGTGGCACATCTGCGGGAGGAGCTGCGGAGGCTTCAGCAGCAGGCGGAGGCTCTCATACAATCATGCGAATCATGCGTATGTGCATTACATTAGATTAGGCTGTACTACATTAAATATCATTAAATTACAAGACATGACAAGACAAGACAAGCACACAATACTTTATAAATTCATACATAAAAGATTGCATTGCGTACAACTTAGACAACAGGCGTTGGAGATAGCTGGGATGCAGTAGAGCAAGGAAGATACCACCAAGTTGTTGATCTCTGGAATCTTAGATGCAGTGAACGACTTGAAACATGGAAAGTATCAAGTTACTCTGTACTCTGTACCTTTGCGATTTGTTTTGCTATGTCATGTTGCCATATATGCTGCCTATATCATCCTATGTCTAGAAGGCGCATATTCTAAAGGCCTTGATGCCTTTGTTGTCTTCATTTTGTCATTTTGGTGGCCATTGGTGGCCTTGATCCTCGGCAAGGCATCAGCAGCACCAAATGAGGTGCACCTGGCATGATGGGATCCGCTGGTTGTCTGCTAGCTGCAGTGGTGCAAGGATTTTTAATGCATTCAGATTTTCACAACTTCGGGAAATGGATGGTCATAAAATCTTTCGAGCTATTCCATGGTATTCCCATTTCGTATGGCCCGAAATTTCAGCGTGTCTAAAGCGTGGTTGTGCCAGCTTCGTGACAGGCCCTTCGTAAAGCCCTCGAGCAGAATTCCCAGGAGATGGCGGAGCTGAAGGCCTCGGAGGCGCAAGTCAAACATCCACGTTACAAAAAATATAAACTGACAGTATTGAATCATTATTAAACATTATTGAACAGATTTGGAGCAAGAATAAAACATATTATACGTGTATATATATATATATAGATATTATATGCGTATATATATATAGATATTGAATGCATTGACACGTATTGATACATATTGGCACATATTGATACATTTCTCGGGTGAAGATATTCAGCAAGACCTTTGGGTCATGCAGACATGCTTTGGTTTTTGAGGACCGCACAGACTGCTATGACTATGGCAACTAGAAACAAAACATTTCATATCTTGGCATATTCCGGCATATCTTGGCTTCGGGTTATATCGTTGTAAAAGAGGAATGGTGATATGGTCCTTGACAAGATCAGGACAGGCTTGGTGGCATCGCCGTGGCATAATCGCCAGATATCGCCAGGAAGCTCGAGTCGCCAGCATGCAGATGGAGCTGGAGAAGCAGAAGCAGGCAATATCGGACGTGGTCATTTTGCCCACAATCTGCACGTCAGGGCAGTACCTTCGTGCACTATCGTGCACTAGGATCATACTACTCCGTGCTGCAGAGAGGTTCTCCCTACTTCCATGGGCTCAGACTTTCGTCAGAGCCGCACAGGCAAAGAATCATGGGACTAACGGTCATCAGCCGAAGAAATCGACTTGCATACTGTGATGCAACCAGATACGTGGTATCTACAGCAGATGCACCTCAAAGAGGACAGGTGGAGTTCGCCTTCTGCCTGCCAACTTTCATGCAGCCACTGGAAAAGCATTCACATCTGGCTATGGGCTTTTGTAAGCCTGTACACCCAACTAGAAAACAACATGAATTTACGCACTTGCGCCCAAAGAAACGACAACATAGAACTAGAGGATGAAAAGGGTTCCGGGGGCCACCTCCAAGCTCAAGCTGTGCTGTGCCAGCGATGTCCAGTAGGTTGCGTAACGCATTTTCCATGTCGGCCATCGAGGCTGCATGCCAACCAGAAACATCCAGAAACAATGCGGCGCAAAGCCCGCCATTCACAACTCCAAAAGGTTGCATAACCAACCGAGATATTGCAAAACCAAATCCACATGCCAGCCACTTCTGCACAGGATGAAGGGACCAATCCTCACAGCACTGGACGGCTGCCAAGCAAGGATGTCCCCGCCCATCAAGTTTTGCAGGTTTCCAGCCTGTTGTTGTGCAATGCCATAGTCTCCCAAGTTGACAACACAAGGAGCGTAGTCACCTGGCATGTCGATAGGAAGTTTGGAGCGCCCAACGATGGCAAAGACAAACATTGCAGTCTTCATCACAATGACAAGATTGCCAGCATGGTACTGTGCACCTTCCAAACGTTCACATCTCGGTATCGAGCAAATTGAGCAAAGAGAGCCCACGAAACAAGATGAAACAAGTATCACGAACGAGCCATTGCAACCACCCTCAAACGCTTTGCTGAAATCAGTCTGACGGTGTTTGAGCCCAGACTGCGTTGGGATCATAATTTCGATAGTTTGGTTGCTTTTGATCTTCTTGTTTGATCTTGTTTGCATGTGCAGTGCTTTTAGCCGTGTCAAGGTAGCAGAGAAGTTGACCCAGCAGATGTCGCAAAATGTTGGGGAACTCAGCGGCTCTAGGTGTGCGCAGGGATGCTCTGCTTACTGGTTGCCAGATCTGACAGGAAGCTGCACGATTTCACTTTCTGACTTTCTGTCATTCTATCTCATGTTGCTTCGCTGTATGAAAACCAGGCTAAGCTGATTTTGTTTCAATTGATCATTTGAGCGACCCTGAGCCCTGAGCTCCTACCACTATGAACTCGGAGGTTTGGCATAGGGCACAGCTCTGCTCTGGGACGGCCTAAAAAGATCTAAAAGGCATCTAATCGCCAACGGCGCCCAGTTCAGCCACAGCATGCCACAGCTAGACAGGAGGCAGACATCGCCAGAAGAGCAGAAGAGGCTGGCATTTTGCCGCTGCAACGAGTCGATGCTGTAGAATGGGTCTCTGTTTTGGATGCGGTTGGATTTTCACCTATGAGCCCGCGTGCTCGGTTTCTTAAAGATTTTGCAATGATTATTGTAACCTATATTATACCTATGCTGCCTATGCTGGTCTCCTGGTGACTAGATATCTAGACTTATGGTTTGGTGCTGAGCCAGATGTCAAATGCAATGGAGAAGAAGCTGGAACAGCTGCGGGAGAGCGTCGGGCACCAAGCGGGCTTGGGAGACGTCGGCTGCCCCAAGTCATGAGGCTTGAATATTTCACACATATGACATACTTCTTATCGGAAGCAAGGTCATTTAGAAAGCATTAATTCATTTTTGGAACGCGCGGGATTGTTGATTTTGGAACACGTGATGGTGGGTGTCTAGCTGTTCCCTGGTTCTGTGTTGCTTGGCTTCTGCGTTTCTAGGTTTCCGGGTTTCTTGGTTTGTGGGTTTCCTGGTTTCTGTGTGTGGCTTTTGGTTTCTTGGCTTTTGCAGATTGTAACTTCTATTTTCTTGACTGTCGTATTTTCTTTGGTTTCTTGGCTTTTGTAGATTCTTGTTATAACGAAAAGTCAGCCGGAGGCAGTGGCTCAAGTTCTGAAGTGTCTAATTGCGAACGTAGTGAGA